CAACAACAAAGAAACAACGCCGGAAAACAACACCTTCAACCTATTAGAGAGACACCTATTCAATCGGAAATTTGGTGCGACATCGTTGGACGATTCTGGGTCGTGGAATGCTGCGAGAAACAAAGCGGAAGTAAAGAAAAATAACAAAGGAAACTGAGTCAAACTCTAAACAATTTAGTAAACTGAGATACAAACTCATATATTGATTATAAAATTTTATAAGGTATTATATAAAATTTTGTTGTCCTCAGGGGAATGTGGTACTGCGTAGTACTGTTGCCACAGTAACCTTGGAGAATAAGTGGTATTAATATTCTGTTATGTATTGTTATTATTATTCAAGGCCATTTATGCAGGCCGAACGCAACAGTCATTTGGACGGTTGCTATCTAGAGAGACTTATAAAAAGATAAACATGTTCTCTAAACAAAAACCAAGTTTCACAAAGAGTTAAATTACAATCTATTACTCTTCTGTTTTATCACTAACTAACACCCATAGCATAGGAGTATCACACTTAGGTAGCTATTTTAGCTTTTACTGTCACTCATTTGTGCAGATTTCACCTAATTCACTCACCCTCAGCAAAAACTCAAAAAATGCCAGAAACTTAGATTTTGACTTTGGTTTTGATCTTTTTTTATGCATCAGTGTGGTCGGAACTGCTGTCCTATTTGCTCAGCAACCGGCAACTTATTTCTAAAATTTAATTTGGAAAACAAATTCAATAACATTCCAGAAGCACAAAATGTTTCAAAAATATAATAATTCATCCTAGGTTGTTTGCGTTCAGCGGGAAGCCTAAGCTGCGAGCTTCAGAGAAAAAAATCTGCGAAAGCTGAAAATAATACAAAAACCCAGATTTTCAGCTACAAATTAAAATTTATTTGTTTTTGTCCTGTTGCTGCTAGCGTACTTCTTATCAAAGTACAGTTATTCGGCATTGAATGGTTATTATCTAGATCTGATGTGTTTGACAGAAAACGAAGACTCGCAGAAGAACTAAGACAGATAAGATAAGCTTTGTTTGTACCGACTTTCAAAGAAAACGGAAAATTTATGCTTAGGGTGGTTTTTTAAATCAGTCAATTTTCGATTATCGAAATAATAGTTCTTATTTATTTAGATATACCTTATTGAAAAGTTTGATAGCCTGAAATCAAATGTGAAGAGATATGTTTAACCCGGATCAGTTTTGTAAAGTTATCGAAGGTTGAAAATTGCTAATTTAGCCAGGCTCTGGACTAATTCATGAGCGCTTTGAAAACTTTTATTCCGATTTTTGAAGAAAGTAAGGAATGGATATGCTCGGGGTGGTTTTTCTTATTCAGACCATTTCCCAAAATAATTCACTTGTAGGTTCGATCCTTCGCAGACCCAGAACGGGCGCGCTAACCACTAGACTAATCTGACCTAAAGCAATTGCTCAGTAATATACTAATGTTGTGATATTTTGATGCTGAATCATTTCGCACCAACAAGTTTTTCAAATCCAATTGAGGAAAATTAATTGGTCTTATTAGTTCCGTACACGATTCTCAATATTCAGCTTAAAATTCATAGTCTGTCAGTATTTCATTAACCAAAAATTTTTCGAGACCAGTTTATGGACATTCGAAACGTTCAGGGATTTGCCCTGATACGAGCCGTCTTGTATTTCTAATGTTGAAAGCGTAACATCAGTTATATAGGCGTGGCGAGTTATACAAGAAAATTGTTCTAAATTGAATTGAGGCTAGCTAACCGGTTGCATTAATTTCGTACGACTCAAAATTTCACAATTGATCTTTGATATTGTCCAAGATTTATTTTTCTTTGATTTTGTTTTTCATTATTCTGTTTTCGCAAAAACTATTTCATATGAATTAAGGGCAGTCGGAACCTTTAGGGCCTTGTTTTTTTGCGAGTAGTCTTGTTATTATTTTATGGCAGAATGATAATTCATTTATAGAAGAAACCTTGTCAAACAACTCTACGCAGAGGCAAATTTAGGGGGATTTGACCCCTCAACAACCAAAAGGTCCCCCTTTGGTTTTTTTATGACATCAATTTTTTATTTCCACCGTCCTAAAATTTTTCTAAAGGCGCTTTCGGCGCCAACCTATACTAATTTCGAAGATGAGCGCGCGCCGAAAATTCGCAATTTTCTATTGAAAATTTTCCAAAATTGCCCAAAATTGCTTTTTGACCTGTTTTTTGGTTGTAATTTTGCCCCCCCCCCTTTCTTCGAGGAAATCTTAGATCAACCCCTGATTGCACACTGCGTAAAAATGCTAGTATTACAGTTTTTTTAATGTACGACGTTTATGTACGGTATCTTAGAAAAGATGGTACCAAAAATTTTTATCTGCATGTGTGTCGTACTTATTGGTGAATTTATTAGTTCTGGCAGTGAGCAGTACTACTCCGATTAATCCAAATACTTCGGCTGCACAATATTTGCCGGAAAATGGGGCTTAGTTTTCATTTTTGCGTGAAAGAGACGCAAACAACTGAAAAACAGAAACTTTTCTGTGCAACTGGCCTTCAAAATGCTACACAATTTGTGCCAAGTGGGCAGAATAAGTCTTATCAGATATGAGAAATGTAGAATATGAACGTCTAGGCTTACCTAAGCAGCTCTTGGCCTCATTCCTGTGATAAGGGCAGAATAACCTTCACCCCGCTGAGTTCCCTCGGTTTGGGTATGGTAATAAAATTAAAGAGCTTCGGAGCCAACCTGACTTTGGTTATTTCCCGCTATATATAGCCATCTGAGGCGGGGGGCTGTTCAGCGCAATATTCGTAAAAATGAACCCCTCGCAACTGGGCGAGCACATGTAGGTCGGTTTCAAATTACCGTTGCTGCTTGATTAATTCGGCCTGGAAACGGGTAGATTTATGGGGCTTAACTGTCAGTAAAAAAAGAATACAATCAAGAAAACAACTTGATTTAGGACGGGCACTCTTGAGGGTGACTGGTTCGCGGGTTATTAATTTTTTGGTGGAGATGTCCTACGTTGGTAACGGGTTGCATCCCACTTTAAAATTGAATTTCCGGCACAATTTTCCCTCGTACTAAAACTAGGGTGCCTCATCGGTCCGTCGTCAATCATAATCGGACCAAGAACTTGGCAACCGTTGCAAGCTCTGCTGACAGCGCGAGCGTGGTTTTGTAGCGACGTTTATTTAAATCTCAATGATGCGACTCACTCTAGACGTCCCGAAGCATCCTGGTGAACTAGTTCGTTTTCCTGCTAATCTTGCAGGAGGGATGCATTGTTTCCGCCATGTAACGCTATTCTCCCGAAGCGATAGTGTGTTTGACTACAAAGATAAAGGGATAAGGCCTTGCGGCGGAAGGTATTACTATTTTTTCGGGATAAATCAATGAGCATGGCTTTACGGTCCTTAGATCCGTTCCCAAAAAAAGCTACATTTTTAAAATAATCGGAATCTTAAAGTAATGTCGGTTTGCACACAATATTACAATTCGAAACTCAACCAGGTGGTTTTTCGATCAGAAGATAGGTAAACATGAGTGAGTCACGCTTAGACTAGAACAAGTTTGGCAGACTTCGTCACCCCATGCCAAAAAATAAAACACAATAAAATCGTCGATCAACCCCCCCGCCGCCCCCAAATCGGAAATAACCAAGCTAATGTTATGAAATTCAGTGGAGCGATATAGAGATGATTCGACCCGGGCATACGAAAAATGGGACCCCTCAGTTCCTTGGGGGGGGGGGGGGTGAATGATAACGTGATAACGGTCCCCGGAAGTGTAAATGGTCCCACCAGAACTCGGAAACTAGCGGCGTTAATGAGCTCAATTTTTTTTACGTTGTAGGCCTAGCTGAGGTAGGCTTAAGTTTGGAACTCCAGAAACCTAGGACTCCCAATTCCAGTCTTATGCTCTAAGTAAACAAATCCACCCCTACTTTCCGGAAGTCGTTTCTCGGTTTCCAACGAACACGGGGAGCTGAAACTTGGAGGAATGATAGGTAATGGCAAAATACACCTTGTCAATGTTTTCAGAAAAGATGATCTGTGAGTTTTAAAAAAGCGAATATAAATTTATGACGCAACCATTGTTACCACTTGTAACAATGGTTACTTGAAAAATATTGTTTATTCGCCAAAATTGATCTTTCCGAGATAGCAATATTAAAGAGAAGTCCCTCGTAATATTTTTTCAAACTCACAATGTTATTCCATCTTTACAAAATGTGACGGAGAATGGGTGCTAGGGTTGTTTTTTTTCTCAAGGCAAAATTCGCCTTTTTAACTTTCGACTTTTCAAATTTTGAAAAACTTCTACAAAACTTCAAAACTCATTCGAAAAGCATTGTTGTCATGACCTTTTAATTTGAAAGACATTTTACCTTTAATCAGTTTTTGTAAAGCTATGGGGGGTTAAGGATTGCCAGTTTGGCCAATATGAGTCAATTAACGCGCGATATTTTTTGACTTTTAATGAGTAAACAGAGCTGTAATCCGTTTAAGGAATCGCCCAAAACAAATTGAGGCACGTTAATTGGCTTATTGAATACATTTCTATATGCGAAATCTATCAGTTTGCCCTTTACATAGCGCGTGGGAAGATGGTTTTTAAGTAAAATTTGCAATTTTTTGTTCCGACCTCCAATAGGGGTGGTTTTTCTACATTTCAGACCAGTTTTTAAAAAAAGTGTAAGAAATATAAATCGAACCAGGAGTTTTGGATTGTCAAGCAAGTGTTCTTGACACTAGCTTAAATGCGGTTGGAATTGGTCGATTGGTAGTTAATATTTTTGATGCGCAAATTATCTGCGAATTTTCCCACCCTCATTATAGCTCCAAACTGAATTAAGTCAAGATAATTGGTCAAGTGGCAGTCCAAAATTTACAATTATAGAAAATTTTGCTAAATAAAAATTTCTCGAGACCACTCAAGGGCTAGTCAGAACATTCAGGGCTTACGAGCAGTCTTGTTTTTATAAATATACAATATGCAGCATGAGAACTTCATTAAAACCTAATTGTAGTTTAAGCATGATTTGATTAGCTCGTAAAAGTATAAAGGCTGGAATTATAACATATTAAGAGTTATTAGACGATAGTTGCTAGTTTTTTTCCAAATTGTGCATGTTTTTTGTGTGGAGTCAATTGTTGTCAATGTTGCATGTCGTAAAAATATTTCCGGGGAGTAGAATCTAGTTGACGTATTCTGTGTTATGTCGCAGCTCTTCTGGTATGTATTCGTCGTATACGTTTGTTCCAATGTATTCTGTGTTGATACGAAGCTCTTCTGGTATGTACTTGTCGTACCCGTTAGCTTCGCTGGAATAGATCAAAAACTACTTTTTAAGAAAATAACCTAAATTTTGCAGATTATGAACGGATCAGTTGGCTGCATTTAATTTTTCTGTTCAAGATCCAATCAAAAGGTCAAAGTGTTGATGACCTCTAGAAGATAAATACATTGACTTAGTTATGAAATTTCTTTACAAAAAAATGTATAACTAGAGCATTTTGAGTTTTCTCATCATTATATGATTGACACTTGGGTCTGTGCTGATATAAGTTCTCCGGAAAATTACCAATTTTCTAAAATCTGAAAACAGCCATCTCAAACTGGCCATACTATGGACAAAAAATGACGAAAACTAAATTTTATTAGAAAGTGCCAGCTTTAAATTGATGCATTGATGTTTTGAGAAACTCAGATCTATACCTTTGCCCAAAATTGGGTCCTTTTTGGCTCGATTTGATCAATCAGAGCCTGAAAAAACTATCGGGTCATTTTTAAGTAAATAATGAAATTAAGCGTTTATGCTAGATAACGTAGCAAACCAAACACCTTAAAAAAATCAAATTCAATCGATTTAAAACTGTCTTGAAGAAAAAATGTAGCTTAAGAATCAGTTTTAACGAGTTCTAAATAAGTTGACTCTAAGCCGGTTCAAATGGAGTGTTGGGCAGTTTTTGTACGGTTATAATTTCATACAGATTATAGCAGTAATAAAGTTGGTTTCAATAGATTTGAATAGCTTTTTATCCACTTTTATGCATGTGCATTTTTTACAGAGTATTCAGATTTTCTATCAAACAAAAAAGAAAATTACAAATACAACACAGTCAAAAGAAAGTTGGAAAAAGTCAAGGAAGACAAGGAAACAAAAAAAATACTGCCTTTTTTGCGGAGAACACTTCAGTTTTTAAAATTCAAATAAAAATTGGCCCTGAAGCTCTCTGATTTTCAACAACAATTTATGATTGACACGTTTTTGACGAAATTATCCCAATTTGATAAGACTGGATCAATGGGTAAATTTTATATTCCGCCAGGAAACCTTAAAATAAACTCATCTTTCGAAACTCGAGGTATTTCACATTTTTTCCGTTTTTGGTTTCGTATTTCAACAGCGCATTTTGTCTAGCTTTTAGCAAAAGGAATTGAATTGAGCTTAAAAAGTGCACATATACCCAAAGGCATACTTAAATGGAGAATGTGTACGGATGCTCTTCTGAATTTTTGAAGCTTTTTAAGACTTTTCCTGAAAAAACAACAGATAAAAAAATCACCAAGACATAACTAAGAGACTTCATTAAGTTCATCGACCCCTGTTTATAAGTTTTGATTGATTGATGTTTGGCCTGAAAAGAAAACTTTAAAAAAACTTTCTGCAGCAAAATTGATTTTTTGTTCCGAATTTCGATACAAAAAAGTTGGAATATTTGGGCTCGGGTGGTTTTTTTTCTTGAAAACTCGACTTTTTAACTAGCCATTTTTGACGGTATTTT